ATCCTTACCCACTTCCTCCTTTCCCATTCTTCTTTCTTGAGATTATCAGAAATAGTTTTAAAACTAAATGGGATGGTAATTAGCAAGGACCAATAAAATTTATGGAGTTATACAGTAGTGTCCTTGACAAGAAAATCAATAGTTGAGAGGGGACTGGAGCATTTTAGAAGAACAGTTTGCCTTCAGTATATGAGATGGTGAATACTTGTAGGCAGTATTTATGATTTTGAACATTCAAAACAGGCATTTCTCCCACACACACACCCATCCCCAACATTACTGTCTACAGTTCATTTTACCATCCCAGAATTTTACCTTGTAGACCAGATCCAAGTCATACAAAACAAGATAGTACTATTTTGGACCAGAATACTTGGATACAATTCCAATAGAAATAGCAGCGTCTTGTCAGAGAGAATGATAGAGAGAAGCCATGCAACTCTAGATACCTTATTCAATACCTGTGGCAGATCCAACAAAAGAGCGTAGTGTGCAGCAGGCCAGCCATGATCTCTTCTGTCACAAACAAGACATCACTGGTGGCATGCCCCATGGAGTACCATCCAACCTTTCCACTTTGCTGTGACACCAGGATAGGATGGAAGTAATTGTGGTTGACTTTAAAAAGTAGAAACATGTAATGGGACATTAATAGGACATGTGATATTGTATGAGATGCCCACCTAAGAAATTGGGAAGCATGGAGATCCAGTTATGTCCTTGTCAGACAGTACTTGTCTTAACAGGGATCTTCCACTTATATATTTTTGACCTGATTATTAGAAAGGAAGGAAGTCTTCATTTTTCATATGATCCCAGTTCATTCTAGAGATGGACTGGACTTATAGAATTGAAAGGGGCCATTTAGGTCACTGAATCCAACCCTTGGCTTAATGTAGGCATACAAATCAAAGTTGCGTATCCTTTACCTGAACCAGTCTAGCCAAATGGAGCTTACCATCTTCCTCAATAATTGATTTTATGGTTAAATTGCCCTTTATTGTTAGGAAGTTGTCTCTTCTCCCCAAACATAGATTAGTTGCATTTCCATTCCAAGTGTGTAGCCACTAGGTTACTTTTACAGTGATTTTTCCCTTCTGCTGGCTGTGCTTGCAACCTGTTGTCCAGAATTATTTCAGGTGTAGTCTTATTGGCTATTGTCAGTGTCAGTTCATGATCTGTGGAGGAGCTGGGGAGTACAGAAGAGGCAGGCAGAGCTGCCAGTTAGCAGATACTTGTTAGATAGGCTGACAGCAATCTGGTAGAGCCAAACAAGTTGGCACAAGACACCTGACATCATCTTATAATAACAAACAGCAGCTATTTATCAGAAGCTATTCTGCATGTACCAAGAGGATGTAAAAGGTTTATGCAGATAAACCTCCCAAGTGACCTTACAACTTAGTTTCCTCAGTGGCAGACTTATTATTCACAAACAGAGAAGAAAGACTTGTAGCAAAATGATGAAAGTTAGAATAATGACATTTGATTTTCACCTGGTGATTCTGATCTCCCTTTTGGGGGTGGGAAAGAGCTTGGATTCCTATTCATTGGCATACAGAAAGAGTCTTTGAATTTTCCTCCATCTATACTTTCTGGAGTTTTGGAACTCTGGTGATATTTGTATGACCAATGTTTGTTTTCATAAAGTGAGTGATTTTAGCTGAAATAGTGGTTCCTTTTTTGATGCCCAATTTGCATATTAAAAAAAATTTTTTTTAAAGAACTGTAGAATTAGAGAGCCAATGTAGTGTAGTGGTTAAGGCACCAAGGCTAGAAGCCGAGAGACTGTGAGTTCTAGTCTTGCCTTAGGCACAAAGCCAGTTGGGTGACCTTGGGCCAGTCAATCCCTCTCAGCCCTAGGAAATCAACTCCACAGGAAGGCTACAGCTACTTTTCTCAAGATTGGCTTAATAACAGAATCTTGCAAGTGCTGGACCTCCTCTTCTTT